CAGGAGCAGGATCAGCCAAGGTATAGTGTGACTTGATTTCCATAGTGCTCCTGGGACAGCACAGAGGTTCATCCCCAGGGGAATCGTCTGCTTCCTGCTCATGCCGATGTACCCGTGACAGCCACGTTCCTCAAACACTCCAGGAGGAAATCTTAGACCTTCTAATTAAAGAGCTGCATTAAATAGAGAAGTGTGCAATTTTTTTTTAAGAGGCATTTTCTTAATTTTAGCTTTTATTGCCCGTTTAGGACAAAGTCTTCTGTGTATAAGGCAGAGAAAGTGGAAAACTCTGTGAGCCTGTCACAGAATCCCAGAATTGCCTGGATTGGAAAAGCCCGTTAAGCTCATCGAGTCCAACCATGAACCCAACACTGACAAGTCCCCTATGACTAACCCATGTCCCTCAGCACTATGTCTACACGACTCTTCAATCCCTCCAGGGATGGGAACTCCACCACTGCCCTGGGCAACCCCTTCCAATGCCTCAGAACCCTTTCAGCAAAGAAATTCTTCCTCACATCCCATCTCAACTGCCCTGGGCACAACTTGAGGCCATTTCCTCTTCTCCTATCAAGACTCAGAGGAGTCTCTGTAAATATCTGTAAAAACAACATATGTTGCTTTTTGTCTTAATCTTACGACTTATAAAACATGAAGAACCTTCTTGCCATTCTCCAGCAAGTCCTAATGAGCATCAAGCTGTTGTCTTTGGGCACAGCCTTGGTCACGAATCACATCTTCACAGCCCACGGCTTCATTTTGCAGCTGGCAGATGTCACCTCCTCGCCATGTTCATATGTCAGCCATGGGGAAGGTGCAGGTGCACCTCTCCTCAAGGCACATGCCAACCCCTTGCCAGAGCCTTTCCTTAGAGCTTCATCTAAAGCCATTTCTGCTTCCTCACAATAATTGGTTTTAATTTCTATTTTTCCAGCTTAAATTTATTCAGACCCAGCCTATACTTTTTTTTTCCTAAGCCAGTATTTACCTGTTCCAAGTTTCTCCTGTTTTATTTGCACAGTGACATCCCTTCTCCTCTTTTATACTTTCAAGCAAGCCAAGACACTCTGGTCTCCTCTCCCAGAGGACATCCCTGCCTGCTTATCCCACCAGCCATGTCCTCCACTCGAGCCACCTTCAATCAATCTTCCCAGGTGCTGACAAGAACCGTAGGGTGGATATCAGATGGGTCTCACCAGGAACTTGTTCAGCGACTCTAACATTTCTCATGCTCAACCAGACCTACCCCTCCTGCTGTGTTTTAACGCCACATTTATCTTCTCCGTTGAGGTGTCACGTTAGCGCTTGCCAACCCGTGCACACAAACCCCCTACACATAAGCAATTTCCAAATATGCAGTTCCCACCATCACACAGATGTCTCTGCTCCTAACCCCTGATGCCCCATCATGAGAGAGACCTGGAGCAGCTAGAACAAGTCCAGAGGAGGCCACGAGGATGATGCGAGGGCTGGAGCAGCTCTGCTGTGAGGACAGGCTGAGAGAGTTGGGGCTGTTCAGCCTGGAGAAGAGAAGGCTCCGGGGAGATCTTATAGCAGCCTCCCAGCACCTGAAGGGGCTCCAGGAAGGCTGGGGAAGGACTTTTCATAAGGGCAGTTAATGACAAAACAAGGGGAAATGGGTTTAAGCTGAAAGAGGGGAGGTTTAGATGAGATATTAGGAAGAAGTTCTTCACTGTGAAGGTAGTGAGACAGTGTCCCAGGTTGCCCAGAGAAGTTGTGGCTGCTCCTCCCTGGAAGTGTTCAAGGCCAGGATGGATGAGGCTTTGAGCAACCTGGTCTAGTGGAAGGTGTCCCTGCTGCTGGCAGGGGGGTTGGGACTGGATGAGCTCTAAGGTCTCTTCCAACCGAAACCATTCTATGATCCTGCATGTCACACAGCCCAATTTCATCTCACCTGCCTGTTAACCCTTTGGAAGGCAGGAGCCTGGGCTGCACAGGCCACCACCAAGGATGCTGAGAACTGACAGACTCAAAAATCCCCAGCTTTGCTTTCACACACAATGTGATTCGTAACCAAAAGCAGCCGAAGCGTTGAATTGCTCCGTGTTCCACCCGAGTTGGGATCGCTGCCAGCTCAACCTCGCTGACACCCAGACTGCACCAGATGCAGAACTCTGCACATCGTGAACTCGCTTCAGTGCCAGCAGAACGACGTGGCAAATGAAGCCAACTCCAGGGTGGTGGCCCTGAAGACACATCAGGGTTTCCCCAGGGCTGCTCAGCCATCGCAGTGGTCCTGCAGGCAGGTGACAGGAGCGATGGAGCGTGTTGGCATAAAACAATACACGAGAATTCATGCAAAGCCAGAAGAGAAAAGCAGTTGATGCCTGTTTGGGACTATTTGAGTTCTGAGGTTGATTTGGATTCTTGTCCCATTAGTCACATTACTGAGGACTGAGCCCTAATTAACTAGCTGTTCCTCAGACATGGTCAAACAAAAGAGGCGGAAAAAATGAAAGAAAGTAGTCTCACCATCTTATCCAGAAAAAAGGAAGGTTCTGAAGCTGACTTCATATATTACACGTCAAAAAATAATGCCCTGATGTAACAAAGTCATTTATTTTTCAGCCTCCAGACCAGCTAATGAGAACTTCTCCACCTTCCAGCTGGGTTGAAAGCTGTAACCTTGCTTGGCACCTCTATTATTGGATTTAAAGAACACTTCTCCATTCACACAACTGAACTTTCTCCTCCCATGAACTGTTTACTCACCATTTTAGCCCATGTGGTCAAGGAAGACTTGCAAGACAGTGCAAGACCAAACAGGCAAACCCACAACGCCCTCAGCATCCCACCGCAGGCGGAGGAGCTGCAGCGTGGGCCACACTCCTGCCAAATTAACCTCAGCCCCTTGCATCTGTCTCCTCCTCTCAATGAACAAGTGATGAAGCTTTTGGAAACCCTGAGGAGATGCAGAAGCTGCAGGGCTGACCATAGACCCAAGAGACACAGCTGAAGTTCTCTGTGGCTCCTCTAGCCCATGTTGCACCCAAGGACAGAGGGTCTCTGGAGGAAACCCAGCTGCCTTGAAAAGCCAACTCAAGTCAAACACAAGAAGACTCCCTGGGAGCTGGAGACCATCACAAACTCCCCAGTCCCACAGCAAAGCACATCTTTGGGTCTCCCTTCTCCAACACACACAAAAAAACCCCACAATGAACACCAAAAAGCAACATCCCGGGACATCTGGAAACGCTGAAATATATTTTTTATGTATTCCTTTGCGCTTCTCTTGGCTTTAAGTGAAGGGCTCTTGACCTCACTCAAGAGGTCTGCAACCTCTTCTGGGGCTTGTTTGAGAGCAACGTCTCCATGGCAGTGCCAACCATACGGCTGAGGACAAGGAAATGAGTCCACCACCTCCAAAAGCAGCACACTTGTTCTGTTTCCAAGGGCTTTTGGGCATTACCTGGGGGTTTGATATTAGGATTTTGTTAGACTCACGTAAGATAAGGAGCCTCCAATTGCAACGTGGACTCATTTAGTTTGGACTTCCCAAAACAGATGGTAAAAGGACAATTCCTGTCCTGAAAAAACCTAAATCTAAACATATCAGCCAAAGATCAAACTTCAGATGCAGTACAGATGTGTTAGAGGCAGAGAGGGGAAGAATTTTGGCACCTAATTCTTATTTCAGTAAGGCTCTCTGGGGACATCACCTTCAAAACACTCAGGATCACAGGAGGAGTCTTGCAGCAGAACCTGCAATAAGACCCAAATCTTCCAATTACAAATCTAATGTCTTAATTAAGTCCCCCTCAAATTACCTGCGTGCCCACACGCTGGTTCCTGGATTTTCCCTATGGTTTATCCCAGAGTGTCCCCACCCCACGTGCCCTCTCTGTCCCTGAAACTGGCTCACCAAGGTGTCTGCTTTCCCCCTCAAAAACAAGAAGTGGTCTCCTAAAATACTGTTCTCACCGTGCAAACATCACTAACGTGCACAATTTTGGTCCGAGGACTTTCAGATAATGTTCTATTAAAAATATGTCCGTTTTCTCATTAAAAACGATAACAAATAAATGTTAAAACCACATAATTTCCTATTTTATATGATCTGCACTGTTTTTTTTTAAACAGGGTGATTTGCCAGTTACAGTTTTCAAAACCCCAGCAGGACTCTTCAGTAAGAGAGTGACATAATCTTAAAAAAAAAAATGTGATTTTTGACCAATTGCAGGAAGTAACAGAAGTCCTAATGATTATTTAGTTAAAAAATACTTACTTACTTATCCTGAGTTGGATAATTAGGGTGGTCAGACACTGGAACAGGTTGCCCAAGGAAGTTGTGGATGCCCCCTCCCTGGAAGAGTTCAAGGCCAGGCTGGATGAGGCTTTGAGCAACCTGGTCTAGTGGAAGGTGTCCCTGCTGCTGGCAGGGGGGTTGGGACTGGATGAGCTTTAAGGTCCCTCCCAACCCAAACCATTCCATGATTCTATGATAATTATCCAGAGTTATGAAGGGGAAAAAGGTATTTAAATGTGAATTCCATACACATGGGAGGTGCTCAAACATAACACGTTGTACTCAAGGGCTGGTGCTCCCCCGCCTTGGATCCGAAGGTGATTGAGTTGAACGCATATTAATCAGGCTGTGTTCATTAACACGCTTCTCACTCAGCTACTTCGTTAGGAAACTCTGATCCTTTCCTGAGGTGATTTGCCTCGTGCGATTGCGCTAATATTAAGAAAACAGTTCTGCACTTTGCCACTTCTCGTTTTCCAGAGCGACTGGGTGGTCCATGGGAGGGTTGGTTTTTTTTTTAAGTAGT